ATGAAAAATAAAAGTAAGTAATATAGTAGACTATTTTGATCAATTTTAGTTAACTCGAATATGGATGTTGATCTGAATTTAACTTAATATGTAAAAACATAGGCATTTCCAGCTCTTGAATATTCATTTAAAGAAGAGAATGCCGTTTAAGATGGCGCCACTGATGTGCTACACATATGTAAGTAGGGAAGGAGGTAATAAATGCACTGTTTCACGATACACCTTTACACAAAGATAATATGTTCCGCATGTGATATATGTATTCCGGGTTCTATACTAAAATAGTCTGAGAGGTGTTTTGTTGTACGGTATGAATGTATAGTTTTTGCTATTTCAATTTCAGTTTTCAATTTTTTTGAGGGATTGATCTGGATTGATTAGTTTTGATTAGTTTTGATTGTATTTTGATTCACTCATAATTTACAACGGTCAAATAGAAGCATTTAAATGGGGTTATTATTGAGTTTTTCAGGGTTATAGGTTCAGACTTAGTTAAATTCAAAATTTGCTCGAAGTACAATGTTATGTTGACCGTTTGTACCACATACAGTTGTAAGAAGAATGCTAATAGATAGGAATTTCAGTGAATTAAGTGACATTAGTCTAATATTTAGAAATTATGATTATTTATATAGTTATGTACCTTTATATTTATTTATATATATATATGTTGTATATGGTTATATATATATATATATATTGTATATGATTACATATATATATATGTAGGACTCCTTTTTATTAAAACAAAGTTAATTAATTAAATTGAAAAAAATATAAATGAAGAAATTGTTTATTTGTCCGCGCACACCGTCGTTACATATATTTTGTATATGATTACATATATATATGGGTATAAGATTTGTATTTTATTCTTATATATTTGGTTTTCAGTAAATTTATATATGAACTTGTAATACGGTTCGAATTTATTTACATTTATTTAATATAATTGAATTGGAGGTTGATTGTGATCCGATGGAGATATGACTGCGAAGTGAATTTGAACACGGTTTGCTTGCAACTAATTCAGAGAATACATTATAAATTTGAAGATAATATAAAAATGAGGCTCCTGCATTTATATACAATGCAGTTGTGATTTTTGTGTTCTTCACTTCATTTTCTCTTTTACGTTTTCGGATTTCGTTAGACACTGAAAATAGGAAATAAATAAGTCATATGTATATTTTTATTTAGGATAGATCATTTTAACTTACTTTTTCAAAATTTAAATGTTTGTTTACAAACGAAACTAGCTGTAAATGTTAGTGATGCCAATTTGAAATTCAAAATTCGTGGTGCCATTTGGTAAAACTAATCTCTTTTGTGATGCCATTTGTTTAAATTTTATATTATTTTTCAACACTAGAAAACAACCGACTCGATTAAATTTGGAAACAATAATAATCTTTAATAAATTCAAAAACATAATTCATACAATAATAGGGTTACCATGTGCAACCCAAAAGAATAAAGTATTAAAAAAAATTAAGTTAGTTTGTTATATGAATTAATAACAATCATTTCACGAAAATCTACCTTATTTCTTTATTATTTATATTTTTAATATTTTAATATTTATTTTATTTTAATAAATAAATATAAATATTAAAAACTGTAACAACCGATACTAAGGTGAGAACAATTTTTAAAATCAAAAGAAATGCACAACACAAGATGAAACTTAAAAAGGAGCTTTTGCGCAGAGAACTTAATGTAAAAATTGATGCACGCAGATATTATTAAAAGAACTGCGGCGAAAATGCGAACCAGCTGTAAACAAAGCATTTGCTCTACATTACAGTTCGATTTGATGTGTGTAAAAAATACTAATAATAAATAATACTCAACACCGGTTTTAGCGTCAGTTTCTGCTGACAGTTTATTAACGACTGAAAAATACAATGAGTGTGTATAATTATGCGTACAATGTTTGAGAGATAGAGAGGGACAACAGCGGCAAGAAACAACCCTTTGTTTCGCTTTAGTTTTCACAATGTGTATACAAGATGACGCATTTGCGCTACATTACAGTTCGATCTGATGCGTATATAATACGGCGCATTTGTTCAGAAAAATCACTTAGTGATCAACATCCAACGATATCACATTATTTTGTTTGTTATTAAGTTGGGAACATTGCATTCTTAATGCCCAAGATTTTCACAACCGAAGCACCTTTTCTCACTGACACTTTTAAAACGTTTAGATGCAGATCCAGTTAGAGACGAAACCTCCTTATTTGCTAAGCGACGAAAATAATTGTCAGTTTTTCTTTGTGGTCGTTCTCTTACGGACGACAAGAAGTCTATAAGACCTTGTACCGACGTTGGCATTACAAAATTTAACGAATTTCGCACCGTGTTATCAGAAATGCATTCAACTATTATGTGCACAATTATATCTTCAGGTATATCAAAAGGTAGGCAATTTATTAGAGACACCTTATCCATGACAAAATCTGTATAAGTACTGAATTCATCATTTTCAATATTAACGACTTTTCGTAAATTAGTAATCACATCGGCACTAACTAAAAATGTGTGAACTAACGATGCTCGTAAATCCGCCCAGTTGTAATATTAGTAAGCATATTTGTCATACCAAACTTTGGCACGACTCATCGAAGCAGTTCGTCCACTAGGGATAATGTCAAAACTCTCTATATTATCCCTTTTTACTCTTGCATCTATATGGACACATCAACCATCCTTTGCGTTGCTTGATGTCAGTCCCCTGCTGCCTAGTTTGTAGAAGTACATTTAAAACATCTATTGTAATATTAAAATTACCTCCACCAACGGATGTTGGTGCCACCGCATTTGTTTTATTATCTCTTGCGGCGTCCGATTCAATCGAATTTTCAGTTTGACTTTCGGACATCTTTAAGGGTTTTATTTTGTGTCTGTTATTTGTTTTAAATATGAATTTTTCTTATTATAATTTTCTTACATCACACATAAGTTTTTGAAAATCGTTTTAGCAATGATCTGTGTAGTATCAACTGTCGCTCACTTCCTCTTTCTGAACTGTTATCTTCACATACACAGACCATATTTTGACAAGTACCCTGCCCTTTGGCATTTATAAGGTGATCATATGTCAACAGGGTGACTCGTCCTTACATGTATTTATTTTTATATATATTTATTTTTATATATATTTATTTTTATATGTATTTATTTTTATATGTATTTATTTTTTATATGTATTAATTTTTATATATATTTATTTTTATATGTACTTATTTTTATATGTATTTATTTTCATATATATTTATTTTTATATATATTTATTTTTATATATATTAATTTTTATATATATCTAGCGTCTTATGTAATACTCATACAAATGTACTTTATTGATTCATTAATGTTTACAATCGTTTATCACAATTATTTACCAGTATTTATGAAATAACTTGCGTATTAACTTGTTAATCATAATATCAAAAAAACTCCCAATGAACAATTTTTTTTTACTATTCCAATGCCAACCGCTTGCTTGCTTCCTTTTTCTTCTGTCTAAATCGGCCAGAGTTGCCATCTATAAACAAATTATTAATGCACCACAATACCCCACCCACCTAGTTACCGAGCTAACAATACTTAAGTGGAAACCGGATATGGCGTCCCTATAAAGTTACTCGCGGTTGTTGTGATGAAAAGTGTTGATTATTACCATGTCGTTGTGGATTTGTTGAAGGAAGGTTAAATATTGCTTTGCGAAGTGATTGAACGAATTCTGTCTGATTAGCAGTATTCTTTTGAGAAACTAAGAACTCGTCGGAGATTCTCAAAGATGCGCCAAAAACGCTTTCGGCTGGATTTAGTCCAATATCGCTTTTAATGGCTGTAGTCATGCCAAGCAGTATCAATGGAAGGGCAGAGCTCCAGCAAGCTATTTTTGAGCATTTGATGGCAGACTTTAATGAACGATGCCACCGCTCTATTATACCGTTTGATTGCGGATGGTACGGTGTGGTACATAAATGTCTAATTCCCATTAATTGTTAATCAGAATTAAAATTTCTAATTCTGATAAGTGCAATAGCTACGCTTTGTGCTGTTATATTGATCATTGGATTTGTGGAAAATTGGTCGTGAAAATTGATCGATGCATGTCAAGCAATAGCGGAAACCATTCGATGTTGGCAGTGGGCCAATGATGTATGTCTATCTTTATGTGCTCGAACCGAACGTCAACTGATGCGAAATCGAATAGTGGTGATTTGGTGTGCCGATGTATCTTTGACTTCTGACATGGAATACGCCTCTGACGCCTGGATGTGACAAGGAAGCGTCTGTAATTCTGCGTCAGATTGTTGTTGTACAGCTATCTTATCAAAACTTATAACACCCTTCTGTACCAAGTCGATTCTTGAAAGCAAGTCGGCAACATTGCTATCTACCCCTGACAAATGTTGAATATCTGTGGTAAATTGCCATATAAAATCAAATTGGCGAGCCCTTCTAGGCGATGAGTTTTCACTTTTCTGCTTAAGAGCGAAAAGGATTGGCTTATGGGCAGTAAGAATTACGAATTCTTTGCCTTCAAGAGCATATTTGAAATGTTTTATTGCCTGATATATTGCAGTTAACTCACGATCGTAGGCGCTATAATTTTTCTGAGTTTCTTCGAATAGAAACCAAAAGGTTGTACTTGGTTGTTTACAACTTGTTGCAAGACTGCATCGGCTGCATCGTCTGATACACCCATGGTGAGTGTTAGTTTCGTATTTGGAGCCATGTAATTCAATAACGTGGCATTTGCAAGGTCGTTCTTGCATTCTTCGAACGCATTTTCAGACTCGGTTGACCACCTAATAAGCCTGTTGTTTTTTTTTTTTTGTTTCTGTTGCCAAATACTAATTGTAATGATATTTGTTGATTTTTCATCGCTTTGGGATTTATCATTCCCAAAAATTTTTTAAGCTGTTTAGCTAAAGGTTTTTCCCAAAAATTTATATTTATGAAGGCAAGTGTAATTAATTGTTATTATGGAAATGGTTTATCATTATCATCACAAGGACATGTGTCTATGAACTTGTGTTCATAGGTCCTATCTACGCAATTATGTCTAAAAATGTATAAAATATTATATAACTAGCTGCTCTATTGACCGTCTTCACACAGTTAAATATGTTATTCCTGAACAAATTCGCTTGAAATGGATGAAAAAACATGTTTCCACTGTGAATATCATATTTAAAATACAATTAAATACAATTATACAATTTAAATACAATTAAAATACAATTATTGAAAAAATTAATTATATATAAAAAATTCATTCGCATCAATCTGTTAACATTTTTACGTATATTTGCGAATATAAGTCTGGTTTGTTCGCGATCATAAAATTAATATCAACAACTGCAAAGCCTATAAAATTACATAAATAAACATAGGTAAACAGCAGACACTATACCGGCTTTTTCTATATTTAAACCGTCGTAGCTCATGACATCATCACTGAAAAATAAATCAGTAGAAAATTTGGTTCCTCTAAGAATCATCGCAATATATAACTTCTTGAATTTTTCCAAAGTTTGAATATGCTCCATTATTTTCGTTATCATAAGCAAACTAAAAAAACCCACCATCATTGCAAATCCACATTAATGCACAATGCTGTCGTCAAGAGAATTTGTTGTTTTAACAATTAACAAAGAAAAAAGCTTTTTATTTATGGCAAAGGACACGAAAACCTTTACAGTAGTCAATTTTGATAATTGTCATTGTATGACAAATTAATAAAGTGCACAGAATAGGTTCGTTAGTCTACATAAAATATTTTTAAAAGATGTAATATTTAGCTACATGACGGTATTATATTATATTTTGTTGGAGTTTCAGACCTACTAATATATGGGGTATATAAGTTTATTGTTTTTCACCATCAACAGGGTAGAGGTGTAGGGTAGCTATATTAGTGACCTAGGTGTTGCTAACGGGCGTTTCTGCTAATGGGTCGAAATACCTGAGGTTTGGCACTATTACCATAAAGTTTTTGATAATGGAACTGAGCAGGTGGCTGCAGGTTTGATTTCTAAATGTGTGGAGCTTAGTCATTTCTGGCTGCTGATATGGTGGCGGAAGAGTTAAGTTCTATATAACTACACATACATTTTTTTGTTTTTTGCGGAATGCCTACGCACTGACCACAACCCGACGCCCCGGAAAGTGAGTGTTTAACTCGAACGTACTAAACCACTTCCCCTCATTCCTAGAGACCTTGTTCTACCCCTGGACTATGTTAGTATTACTTCGAGGTAGGGTCAAGGCAAGGTTATTTGCATCTTGGCAGTTATTGACTAAAACCAAAACATCAGATCGTCAGTTCGACGATAAGAAATGCTGATTTTTAGTAATTGGTTAATAATTGGTGTTATGGTGTAAATAACTTTGAAAATATTAAATACGGAAGAATTGTAAAAATATGTAGAGTATTCTTTTAATAATAAAAACTTTGCGTATTTAGCAAAGCAAATTATGAAATTATGAAAAAAACCCAATGAGGTAATTGGAACTTATTGAATTCTAAGGTCGAACATTTGGTATTGCATCAAGTTTAGGTATATAAGATGAGTTCAAAATTTGAACAAGAGGAGTAGAAGGTATGGAGTAGTTAAATGTTGTAGCGCTGTCTGTTCTCAAGTTGGTTAGTACTCGCACGCAGAAAAAAATTATGTTTGAGGCAAACAAAATTTTTAGGAAACAAACTATGTTTACGAACTATGTTTAATCCAAACTTACTTTATTTATGACGAATATATGAAGTAGTATTACCGTAAACATATTTTACATCGCTACAAAAAAAGTTTTTATTTCTTCTGAATGAAGTGTATGTTTATTTCAAACATAATGTGTGATTGGTACAAACAAAACATATACTTATTTCAAACTTACTTTGTTTACAACAAATATATCAACCAGTGTTATGTCAAACACAGTTTATATCAGTGAACGAAAACAAACACTAAAGTACAAAACATAGTGTACTGTTTGTCATCTTTGTTAAAAAACACTAAACGAACAGTACATTAAAAAAAGTCCGAAACAATTCAACAATTTTTCTGAGTTTGATGGTGTTGTTAAAACTCCTAAAGCACAAAAATATTATATTTTAACAATGAATTAAAATTTTTTGTGTATTAATATTACCTTTTAAACACTGAATTCGTTTATATAGTGACTCTATGCACTTCTTGGCTGTTACTATTTGAGAAGCACTTAAAGAAATACGAATTCTGGGATCCAAATATATAGCTGCCGTAAAGAGATCTCCTTCGAGTAGTGCGGTCTTTCTTTTATTTAAAGCTTGCAGAAACATAACCTTCAATTCATTTTCCGGCAAATTCTGTACTTCAAAATCAAGATCCATTAGTATTATAAATAAATCGCTAAAACATAACTTTCCAGACTGTAATTTTAAAGTTGCAGTATAAAATGGTTTTAGAGCAGAAACAAGTTCCGTCATAAATGTCCAGCTGTTTTCGGTCAAATATAGTTCAGCATTTATATTCCCGAGTGAGGTGATGATTGATTTTAATAAAAGTAGTCTCTCTATCATTTTGTATGTAGAATTCCATCTCGTTATGCAGTCAATAAATGCTGCTTTATGGCCTCCATTCTTCAGCATACTCCGATAATAAGTAGTCCTTAATTTTTTTGACACAGAGCGGCATGTGTCAATGTTTTGTTTAATACTTTCCGTTTTTATAACGTCGTTTACGCAAAGTTGTATGGTGTGAGCCCCACATCTTATAGACTGAACTCCAGATGATACAAGATCTGAAGGCATTAATTCTAAGTGATCCACATTTTGCTCTTCGTCACTTTCTACTGCTTGCTCCTCATTTAATTCTTGATTCAAGTCTGCTACACTTTTAATCATGTTAGCAGCATTATCCGTAGTAATTGTTAAAATTTGATGCAAATTTATACCAAAGTCTTGAAAAACATCCATTGTAATTGACTTAATGGTTTCGCTTGTATTCGCGGACACAAACTTTAAAAATTTTTTGATGTGTTTCGGACATGAGCAGTACACTACGATACTGTACTGTTTATTTTCGTTCACTGGTTTATATTGTTGTAGATATAGCAATTATTTGTCTGGAATTAAATGTATGTTTGTTTCACAGCTGATATATGTTTGGTTCAAATAAATCAAATTTTTTAGGGTAAATGCTTTTTATTTCTAAACTTATGTATTTACATTTTTCAAAATGATGTAGAAAATATGAACATAATTAATATTCTAGAAGTTTATTAGATTAAATATTATTTGATAAAATCAAAATAGAAATAAATATATGTATATAATAGTTATTATTAAAGCTAAGTAGTTAAAATATAATTTATTTACAAATTTATTATAGAAATATATATTATCTATTATAGAAATAAATATATGGATATAATAGTTATTCTTAAAGCTAATTAGTTAAAATATAATTTATTCACAAATTTATTATTTATTATTTATAGATGATAAAGCAAAATTTTTTTCCTGGAATGATACAGTAGCATTCTTATGTGTGTACATTTTTATATTTCAATTTTTGCTACTGAGCAGAACTGTACTTTTACAAATACACCTATTTGCACATATATTTATATATGTACAATTATATATAAAGAAATTTATTAATATTATTTATGTTTTTATTTTTATATATGTTATTTATATATATATATGTTATTATATATTTATATATGTATTTCACAATTTCATATCACTCTTACAAAAGGTTAACCTTCATTCATATTTCTGACTAGAACACTATTTTGTTTCTTTTTTCTTTTTAATTATAAAATTATTAACTGTTGCAGTAAAAGTTTTATATTTAATATTGTAAATATTAATAAACACTTTTTACTTTTATACGCGGTTGGAATAAGCATTTAAACAATTTAATGCATACACGCACACCCATTCACTAATAAGGACAAATGTAAACTGACTTATAAGCAATTATAAAGCAAAATGCAAATATCCCACAGTTGTATTTCTGCATTATGCAAAACGAACACAAAAATGAATAATGAAAGAAAAGGCACAAAGTAAATCAAATTTTATCAAAACGAACTAAGCACAGATTATGTTCCGCGGAAGCTAAAACTTTGTTTGCAGCAATCCAAATCTTGACTCAGGTTGTCAGAAACATAGTTATGTTTCCAATAATACAAAGTTTGTTTACCTCAATCTGAAATCTAAAAGAAAATCTCCAAGATCTGAAATCAAACATATTTGCCTCAAATATTAAATAAACATAATTTATAATTTATTTATCCCATATTCATCTTATCCTCTATCATGCGCAATTTTCTTAGTTCCAATTCTTTGTGAAAATCTAATTTTTCTACCTCAAGTTGAAGCGTCCGATTTTGGAACTCCTCTCCTTTGTGTTCAATATCGCTTAGTTTCTGAATGGCGGATGTTTGTTTGTTACGTCTTGAATTGTTTTCGAAACGAATCCTCTCTGGTGTAGTTTTTTTTTGTATGTTTAACTTGCTTCTGTTAGTAGAGAAGTCTGTTGCATAGTATTTTCTGCCAGTATATCTGCATCAAATATCATGCTAAATAGTGATACTTCTTCGCTGTTCGTTATTTCAACGCTTGCTTGTTCGATGTTACTATTCAGTTTTTGCACAGGCATCTCCTCGTCGAATACCAGCACAGAAGATTGTAAAACAATTTCGTTACTCCAAGCTTTCTCTCCAAATATCTCCGACAATTGGTCATAATATGGAAATATATATATATATATAACATTTATACTAAATAAAATTTGATTTTAATGACCTTTTACAGATTTGACTTCTTCGTCATCTAGCAAGCCGGCGCCAGTAGACTTGTGCCACTTGTTTGCCTTAACAAAACTTTGCTTAAAATATCTCATCTTAAATCTTACTAAGTCCCATGTGGCATCAATTTTTTCACTTCCATTAGTTTTTTATAATGTATTTAAGCTGTTGGTTTCTATAAATAAACCGAATCAAGTTTTGTGAAAATATTAAAAACAAATTGTCATCTAACCTCAAAATATCCGTTTGCATGGATATATTCTAATATTTTTAAATTTTCCTCATTTGTCCATTTTCGCACTGGGGACTGATAACTATTGAATTTTAGGTACTCGATTTGCTACAAATGTTACCCATCTTTTAAAATAAGATGATAAGCAATTCAGTACTATAGTTGAATCAGTCCAGTAATGGACAGCTTGAATCTTATGGGCTATACATTTCTAAATTCTACTCATTAGCTCAGCTAATAATAACGCACATTGAATCTCTAAACGAGGCAATGATGTTGCATGTACAGGAGCAACGTTGTATTTTGAGGTTACCAGTTCTACTGTAATTTTTCCCTTCCTATCAATTGATCTAACATAAATAGCGGCACCAAACGTCCGTTCCGAGGCATTGGAAAACCTATGCAGCTGAATGAAACTAACACTGTTTAGTGATACTACCGACCGAGAAAACGTACAATTCGAAATTGACCTTAATTCTTGGCGATAGTTTTGCCACCTAGTATGGAGATCTTGAGGAAGTGATTCATCTAATGGATATTACGGAGCTACAACTCTTGCATAAATATTTTTCCAATTATAATAATCGCACTGAGTAACCCCAGAGGATCAAATAGTTGAGCTAACTCGGAAAATACTCTCCGTTTGGAAATCGATTCGGTCTCCGTGATATCATAAGTAAACTTCCAAAAATCACTCTTTGATTCCCAACAAATTCCCAATGTTTTTGAACAATCATCTGTTTTAATCAAAAGTGGCGAGTTCATAGTGGCCGATAGTTTTTTACAGTTACAGCGCCACCTATGTAGCTCAAAATCGCCCAAACTCAATAGAGATGTAACTTCAATTTTAATTGCTATCAATTCTTGCACTGAATTTGCTCCACCTAGCATATCGTCCATATAGAAGTTGTTCATTAATATTGACGCACCTTGGGATACATATCCCTATACTCATTCGCTAGTTTCTCAGTCATAAAGTTTAACTGACTTCCAGAGTCTAGAATACATTTGCCTCTTGATAAGATCTATTACCACTTACGGACACTATTGCCGTGGCTAAAGAACAATTTGAAGTAGTAGGCAACAATGTGCTATGAAGAGCAGTCCTACTAGCTTGCTTATGAGATTGTGCCGGAACGAAATCGGCATCCCTAGTTTCCTTCGAAACTCTGTCACTTCTATGTAAGAGCGTATGATGATTACTTGAACACGTTTGACAACGACTGGAGGCATACTCCTTTATAGAGTGTCGTTTTTCTAAACAAATTAGGCATAATGAATATTTTTTGGCGTCATAGTATCGCTGTAACGGCGACAGTATAAGAAAGTTTTGACATTGGTAAAGCCTATATATATAGGGAAAGTAATAACATATATTTTGTTCATATATTTTATAATGTGATCAATTCGATATAAAAGTTGCAGCGCTTTCAACCTTCGTTGGTTTCCAAACTGCACCTCTTCCTTGAATTGTTGTTGTGGGAAAATAAAAGGGTAATAGCATTAATGCTAACGACTTCTTCGCTTCTATTAGTTATAAAATAATTAAAATACTTATTATAGTTTTTATAATTTAAAAATTTACCGTTTTCTTCTTCTGTAATTAAGTTAATAATAGATGTAATACACTTCGATCGAATGCTTTTCACTTTATTGATCAGTGAAGAATGGAATTCATTTGGAATTGAAGTTTTTAATCGTTTCTTTTATTTTATTTCAACGTCAATTAAAAACTAGAAAAAGTTAAAAGATTTTAAAGAGATTCTTATTTTTAAATTTTATATTGTATTTCTACCAATTCATATCCGTTTGGTTGTTCGTGCACTGGAAACTGTGTGATGTATTGCGAAATTAAAATTGTATCTTTCAGAAGCTTTTGTCTATAATTGAAAGTATTTTTCCAAATTCATAATAGTTCATAATTTCCTACAACAACTTCAGTACTTAGATAATGTAGGCTTGAATTGAGGCACTCGTTTAACAGATCTAAATATTACAGCAATTATTATTATAATAAAATATTTACAAAAAAAGAGTAAAAAAATGTAACTACATTTATCTAAATCAAACGTTTCTACAACTGGAGTTTTAGATTTTGATCTACATACAATCAAACCGGCAGATGGCAATGCAGTTCTGTAGTTGTTATATGCATCGTGAAATTTACCACTGGCATGCCTTCACAAACGCGTTGGTAATAAGTTGTTGGTATTTCGCAGGGAAATACCTCGCATACTCTAAAATTTAAATCCTCCAAATCAACTGTAGACAATCTGCAGTGTTGAAAGTTAACATTCACCTAAAAATAAATACTAATAACATTACTCTTCACATACATTTTATTTGGGTTCGTCAATAAATTTTATATTATTGATTTGCTTATGTTTATTCCTTCTTTATTCCACAGCGATTTATTTCTTTCAAAATTTTCCAAAATTATCCTTTTGTGGGCCTTAAGGAAATTCTCTAGTTGACGAAACAAATGTTTGATTTTACATTGTTGAAATATGTATATTTAACATCATTTTTCTAAATGAAATTAGTTTTAATAAACTTACTTTTTTGTCACTAAAATATTGATTGCAGATGAAAGGAGTTGTCGGCTGGTTAGATGCGTTGGTAGATTCTGTTGCTAAACAAACACTATTGTGAGTCGGAATTTCATTTACAACGGTACACTCCACTGCATTCCACGATTTTTCTACACTATCTATCGCTGTAATAAGAAATCAGTTTGTAATTTACTTCACAGTAATTATTATAATTTTTTAACAACAATTTCGTTTTTGATTGAAACAAAGATTGCAAGTTGCGCATGATTTCCCTTTAGATAACGTAGTTTGTCGCTGTTAATCAATTGAATTTAATGCGAAAACTTTGCTAAATATGCAAATTAATAATTTGAATTTTATTGGTTGTTTTTA